TAGGCTAACGGAGGTTTCGCTACCTGTGTTATGTGTAACTTGTGCGGACAAAAATACGAATTGAATTGGAGAACTCAACATGGTTTGAACTCGAAATTTCCTTTGCTATAAATTTGTAATTAGAATCCTAACTGAGAAGACAGTTTGTCATCGATGTAAAATATTTTTTCCGCATCTTCGACAGGTCCCGAGAACTGGGCGACGCTGTTTCCCAATTACTGTGCTGGCAGCAGTCAGTCCCCGATCGCCTTGAATGGACTCGAAGCCACTATTAAGAGCTCTTCCGACGCTTGGGTGCTGGACAAATACGACACCGTCCCTGATGATCTCATGATTGAAAACAATGGACATTCAGGTTTTATTACCACTTTTATCCCATGTTAACAATAAGGCCGGTGCCAATTATGTCTGATTCATGAGATATTAAAGGCCAGTCTCTAACCAGTTCCTGAAATTAAAAATAACCAGCAAATGTCAAATAATCAATTTTGGCTACGATTGTTTTCCCTACAATTATATCTAGAGTTGATTAAATGTGGGTTAATAATTTCATGTGGAAGTGATAGCAATGTTAACAATCAACTTTCCATCTTGATAGATGTTAAGATAGACTTGACAATTTGTATAAAAGATCCAGAAATGTAGTTCTTTTGGCCTTAAAGTGAGCCATTGTTGCAGTTTCTGAAGGCCTGTTTTCCTTTCCTCTTCCAGCCAAGGTTGCATGGACCATCACAGACGTCGCGGAGCTCCCCTCAATCAGCGGCGGAGAGTTGGGAGGCCAATACACTTTCGCCCAGTTTCACTTCCACTGGGGCAGCGTCAGCACACAGGGATCCGAGCACACCCTCAATGGGGTCGCGTAAGTTAAAGAAGGAAGTGAAAAATTCGGACTCTACCATGTATTGACATATGCCACGTCTACATTACCTACGTGCTTCCTCTCCGTCCAGATACGCTGCCGAGCTTCATCTGGTGCACTTCAAGACTGAGTATGGGTCCCTCACCGAAGCGGTCGCGCACGATGACGGCCTTGCTGTGTTGGGCATTATGCTCCTGGGCGGTCTGGTCGACAATCCCAGTCTCACGCCAATCATCGAAGGGCTTGCCACTATTCCGAATTCAGGTGTGTACGTGGCCGTCTTTTGAGGTAATAGTCGGCACCTAATGAGAAATGTCTTTCCTAACACATTATTTTTTGATAGATCAAAACTATAACTATTTATTGAGTTGAAAAACCAACAAACTTCAGGCTGCAACATCCTGCAATATATATGTGACTGCTATATTAGCCTTGGAAATGAAGGAAGTCTAACATTGCAGCAACTATTATTTGGTAATATATCGCGCTGTGCAGAACTTCTCTTGCAGTCCAAATACTCATCTCTGGATTCTATACTCACCTTGCATTACGATTCAACTCACCTTTGGTTTGTAGGTGACGAAGAACACCTGGCAACGATGTTCCCCCTCCAAGACCTCCTGCCGCCGGACACCAACACCTTCTACAGGTACTCAGGTTCCTTGACAACTCCCACCTGCAATGAGGTCGTCACCTGGACTGTTTTCCGAGAGCCCATAAGCATTTCCGAGCATCAGGTCAGTGGGATAAAATCATATATAGATCTACAAATACTCTCATAATGCTGATGAATATTAAAGGTATAGCTATTATTTATCACTGATAATGATTTATAGTGCCGATTTTATGATAATGCTAATCATATGAAGTATGGCGATTATAACGATCACCAGTTCAGCATTATTATCATTATATCAAAAGCCAACACCATGTCATGAAGTGTCTTTCTCTCTCGCCCAGCTTGAGGAATTCCGCAAGCTTCTCGGAGATCACGACCACCACATTGAAGACAACTACCGCCCTGTCCAGCCCATCAACGGCCGTACGGTGAGTTAGAAGAAAATAAGGGGAGGAAATGATTTGCCGGGGAAAGAAGGTCGAAACTCAGGCATAGTGGGACGGGCCATCACCTCATTTTCCCTCGAGAAATTCTTATTTGCCCAGACTGTGGACAAGTTCCTATACTTACTTGCCGAATAAAGGGAGAACTTAACCGATTATAAAGTAGAAAAAACATAGGAGCCCAATCCTCTTTCGAGCACGTTTTTTTGGGGGTAAATGTTTCTAATTTACCGGAAAAATGGGCAAAATTCTTCCGATAACCCCCCCCCCCCGTACCCTCTTCGGAATGCCCCTCGGTCAAAAATAAGTCCAGGGGATGAGGCATGAGAGATGACTTTTGCTTGATTTTTTGCTAAGATGATTACCGAACTATACCGGTGAAGTAATAATCATTCTATTGTCCCTCAGGTCGAGAAGATCACTTTATCTTAACTCTTCGTGATGTTCAGGACCAAAATGAGAGCGACGACTTCAGTGCATACTACCATGGGAAAACAGTATGAGAGAGAGAGAGAAAGAGAGAGAGAGAATTACGAGTAAGAGGGTGTTTTCCCCTTTTGTTGTATTCTTTGTTTTCCG